GAAGTGTTGGCTTCAAGATATGTCTGATAAGACATCAAATGAGCCTTCAGGATGGTTGCCTGGACATCAGCCTCTTTTCAGCCAAAGTACATTATTATGCAACCACCATAAAAGCAGACAAGACCACGATATCTAAAGACCTTCCTCAACACTGGAGCATGCTCCTTCTCACACAGACATCTGGAAATGGAGCATTTGCAGACCGGAGAGAGAGAGCTGAGTGCTGAGACCCTGGTGTTCAAAGCCAGCTCATGTTAAAGGGCAAAATTAACATCTGGTAAGAGGAAATTACTTGCTTAAGCTCAGGTAATTTGGTAACTAAAATTACACAAAATCCTAACAAAAAGACAGTCTGTCTTTAGGAGGCTTCAAAAGCAAATTTCTTTGTGAATGCACCAGAATCAACATAAGGAAGCTATCCTCTTTGCATGGTAATTTAGATGGACAGCAATGCAGCTTTTCATACTCCAAGGTGCCCCTCCCCTTGGTATTCTGTACAAGTCTGGACTGAAAATGGGGCCTGAGAAGACAATCTGGTTTGGTGCAAAGACTGGAACAAGGAGCGATTTGCTTTTGTGCATGCAATCTGCATTCAGGAGAGTGCCCAGCAGCTCTGCAGATTTTAGGGCTTTATAATGCTGCAACAGAGAGTCAGGGTCCATGCTCTTTGCTTTTGCCTTTTCCAGGCCATGGTGGCCCAAGGAGAGCAGTGTCAGAATGGCCACGTATCTATACACCTTCCCAGGAAATCACCACAGTGTAACCTCCACCAAGGGCAAAAGGAAAACCTTTTGGCTGAAGCAAAGGTCTGAACATGAGACCAGACAGGGAGAGCCAGCCCAATCTGTGGTTAATACATAGTGATGGGCCGTCCACTGTATTCCATACTGAGCCAACAAACAGGCTCTGTGGTCATAACCTGCTTAAGGGGCTGTGGTTCAGAAGGGTTAGCATTCAATTTTCTATGATAGCCACAGGTGCATTGCGTTAATCCATTCGGCCTTCCAGATAATGACCCTGAACAAGTAACTACTTTTCCCCACCCTTTCTACTTTATTCCCCTAATAAAATATATGAACACAAAGCATAGAGAGGAGAAGCCAAAAAATTGCCATTTTATGGTCCTGTACTGTCATGCCAAACCAGCTATTTGTGCAACCAACTCCTTCTGTGTTCAAGGAAAAACACTTGGCTTGTGCTTCTCTCTGTGTTTGGAGGAAGCATGGGGCATGGTTAACATTTAAATTAATCTCCCTCTCTCCCAGGGACTCTAAAAGGTTGTGCTGGAAGCAGGTGCACATCACACAATGCAAAGTGCTGAGTGCAGTTGCAGGGTTGAGGAATGTCTCAGGGCACATGGCAGGCAAAAACCAGCAACAGGGGCAATAAACGGACTTGGTCGTAGTGCCATGGAGCAGTCATTACCAGGCTGTCCTTCAGAGGGGAAGCATTAACCCTGGGAGAAACAGTCTCAGCAAGCCTCATTCTATCTTAGACCAAACAACTGACATCATCTACCTTGACCTGTACAAAGCGTTTGACACTGACTTGCATGACATCCTTGTCTCTAAATCGGAGAGACATGGATTTGACAGAAGGCCCATTCGGTGGATAAGGACCTGGCTGGATGGTGGCATTCAATGAGTTGTGGTCAATGGCTAAATGTCCAAGTGGAGACATTGTCCTCGGTGACAAGTGGTGTTATGCAGGAGTTGGTATTGGGACCGGTGTTGTTTAACATCTTTGTCGGCAACATGGACAGTAGGATTGAGCGCACCTTCAGCAAGTTTGCCAACGACACCAAGCTGTGTGGTGCGGTCGACATACTGGAGGGAAGGGATTCCATACAGAGGGACCTGGACAGACTTGAGAGGTGGGCTCATGTGAACCTCATGAAGATCAAGAAGGCCAAGTGCAAGGTCCTGCACGTGGGTCGAGGCAATTGCAAGCACAAATACAGGCTGGGAGGAGAATGGATTGAGAGCAGCCCTGAAGAGAAGGACTTGGGGGTGCTGGCTGATGAGAAGCTGAACACGAGCCGAGCAATGTGAGCTTGCAGCCCAGAAAGCCAACCATGTCCTGGGCTGCATGAAATGAAGTGTGACCAACAGGTGGAGGGAGGTGATTCTCCCCCTCTACTCTGCTGTGGTGAGACCCCACCTGGAGTACTGTGTTCAGCTCTGGGGGGGCCCAGCATAAGAAGGACATGGACCTGTTGGAGTGAGTCCAGAGAAGGGCCACAAAGACGGTCAGAGGGCTGGAGCACCTCCTGTACGAGGACAGGCTGAGAGAGTTGGGGTTGTTCAGCCTGGAGAGGAGAAGGTTCTTGGGAGACCTTATTGTGGCCTTCCTGTATTTAAAGGGGGCCTACAGAAGAGATGGGGAGGCACTCTCTACAAGGGAGTGTAGCAACAGAAGGAGTAATGGTTCTAAGCTGAAAGAGGGTAGATTTAGATTAGCTATTAGGAAGAAATTTTTTACTGTGAGGGTGGTGAGGCTCTGGAAGAGGTTGCCCAGGGAAGTTGTGAATGCCCCATCCCTGGAGATGTTCAAGGCCAGGCTGGATGAGGCTTTTTCGCAACATGGGCTAGTGGAAGGCATCCCTGTCCATGGCAGAGTGGTTGTAACTAGATTATCTTAAAGGTCCCTTCCAACCCAAACCATTCTATAATTCTATGATTCTATGATGGCAGCAGGACACAGACCTGTGGGACCTGCAGTTCTGCATGGCTGACCCATGTAAACAGACACCTCATTGCTCTAGCAGGCACACTGAAATGCTCTGAGGTCCTGAGCAGGGACTGTTGGAAAGGCTGAGCGTGTGCAGCCCGGCTGGAAGGCACAGAGACTGACCCAGGGGGATAAATGCAATGAAGATGTTGCATGGTATCAATGCTGAACTGCAAAGTCCCACTTTAGAAGAGCGAACATTTAAAGAGACTCCGTCATGTCCTATAGGATTTGGTTTGACCATAGGGTTTCTGTTAGGTTTTGACTACATTCCCCACTGAAAAAAAAAGACTCATCAAGGAACAATTTTTCCGTGTTATCTTTTCTCTTTACACAATGTTGGTAGAGCTCTTTCCCCTACCTCCAGACGACTTGCTAACCTCAACCTGAGCTAGCACTGGAGAGGAAAGCAAGCACATAAAGAAAGAAGTGAAGAACTGGAGACCTGATACTTTTTGCTTCTTTAAAAACATTTTGGAAATATTCCCTCTCAGCATTTTCAGGTGGTGAGAAAGGGAGCATTCAGTTGAGGAACACTCTTCCCAGAAGAGCTGGCAAGTTAACCAGCACTTCTGCATGAGGAGGCAGGGATGCTCAGCAAACAGCACCACTCAGTCTTCTTTCTATGGCCTGGAGCCAGGGGGGCAGTGCACTGTTTTAGGGAGGGGGGGGGCAATCATAACTTTAACAGTTGCCCATAAAGCCCAGGAATCTTGTTTCCCTGCTCTTTTGCTCATGCTGTGGATGGTATCGTGCTTTGCACTGCACAGAATGAAACCCCAGGATGTTAAATAAATGTTGTGATCATGAAGAGGACTTCTTAAAGATTCAGCTCACTTCATGCATATTTCTGATGGGGAAACTGTCTGTCAGGGCAGAGCTCAGGCTCTGTCTTGTGACTCAGGAATTCTGATGGGAAGCTCAGAATTCCTCTCGCTTTTTCCCTTTCCCAGGCTGCAAAGCAAGTGATGACCCAAGGCAGGCAGTCCTTCCTCCTGGCAGGCAGGAAAACACACAGTCGTGCCTGTGGCAAAAGATTTCAATACTGAGAAAAATGCCAGCCCATTCCTCACCTGAGCCCCGCATATGCTGAAGCCAGCAGCGTAAGACCAGCCAGGGAGGGGACACATTTCCTAATTCCAGAAACGATTCTGCATTCAAAACAATCTGCTGGTCAACTGGCAATTCAGTCCAGCCACCCAATGTAACGCCAGGTTTCCTGACTACTCCAGCATCAAATAAACACAATTGCTCCAGACATGGGACAGCTGTAACACAGACCAAGTGGGCAGAGATGGGATAAACAGTAGTTTCCTCTCATGGGTTTTTTTTCAGCTGAAGCTGTTTGTAATCCTGCTGTTGCTGAAAACTTCCCTAAAGTCTGACACCACCACACAGATGCCTTCAGCATTAACAAGTCTCTCCCACAGGCACTAAGAGATGCAGTGTCAAGAGAATATCGACAGTCGAGCACTGTAAAAATGTGCTTTCTTCAACTAGCTTTTCTGGCACTGACCTTCAGACTGTACATCTCTAGTCTTGTCTCGTCCAGGACTCATTTTTTCTTAGTTGAACTAAGTTTAAGATTTTTGGAAGCAGATGGGTCTCATGGGAATTAAGTATAGGCTGAAGACAGTATACGTGACTGGACTGAAATCAGGAGTATGGTATTCTCAGAGAAGGACTGAATTCCTGAAGAGCACAGATGAATTACAAATCAAATCTGACGTGTTTGGTGATAATTTAATGTGGAGCTAAGGGTAGATTGCATTTGATATGTGACACAACAGCTCTAGCTAGTACTGACCCACACTGAGATGCCAGCTTTGTCCTCTTCACAAGTGAATGAATTGTGCCACGCTAGTCCTGGCTAGCCTTGTCATATGAAAGGATGCCCTGCTCCATTCCCATTCCTGTGCCCCAGTTACAGTATCAGTTTGGTTCTGCAAATGAAACAGGTTTAGCGAATGAATTAAGAACTGACCTCCTCTTACTGGTAAAAACCCCTGACACCTCAAACTCACTCCTGATCTCACAGACAGATTGGTTTTGGCAGGCAGGATTACCTGCAGCCCCCCCTGGCCCTTCCCATTTTGTAACAGACACTTTGTAAAATATCCCCAGTGCCTACACAAAGGAAGGAGGTATCTCTGCCTTCTCTCTCCAGACCAGTCAGTTCTGCCAGGCACTTCCCAGCAATTTAAGCAACTTCTCTTTCGTTTAATCATAGTTTAAAATAACTTATCAACCAATCATAAAATGAATTTTTTGGTTTCTCCTGGCTCCATGAACACAAAGAGGTGCACGTCCTACCATAGGAGGAAGCAATGGCTGTTAAGTTTTACAGTTATAGTGGAAAGCACTGATCACAGCCTGCCGGCCTCACTACTGGATGTGACAGGCGGTGGAGGAGGTGGCTTGGCAACACATGCAGGTAGGGTTGACTGATTTAGGTGGGATTAGGTCGAGGTCCTCGTCATCTGGGATCTCATCTAACCGGTACCCATCCTTTAGCAGCTGGATGTTCAAGTCTTGGTTGATCTGCTACAGACAAAGAGACAAACAGTCAAACACTTGAGACCTCTTCCTTCTGATGGTCAGAAGATGAAGGAGGTCTCTCATTCCGGAATATATTTTCCCACCATTAGTAGCTGCCCCACCAATGAAAGAGTCCCAGTTCTTGACAACAGGTGAGGGCTGCCTTCCGTTGTTCTACCTTTTTCCAGAATAGGAATATCTAGAGTGAGATATTGCAGAGTAGCAAGTCGATACACTATTTTATTCCGCAATAATCTTTCCATGAAGACAAGCCCTCATTAAAAGTAATGTAATAATAATAATGCTAATAAACCAACTGGCAGCTGGGTATTCCCTCCTCTCAGTCTGGGGCACACTATAGCAGTTGAAACGTGGTAAAGCCTCTTGGCTCCTTGTAATGTCAGATTCAAGTCCTGTCTAGCCAAATCTGGGTGAATAAGACTTCATCAGGGCTGAGAGATGGCCCAGAGCATTTGATCTGGTCTGTGCTCTTGGCTGTTTTTCTGTGTTTTGGAGGTATTTTGCCCAAGGAAGTGATACAAGGGGGAAGACTTCCCAGCAGTTTGTGTGCCAAATGGCTGCTCAGCACCCTGGATGTAAAATCTGATCCTGCAGAAGCAGTTGCCAGAGGCTGAGCAATGAATTCACAAGAGAGCTTGGGAGGATGTTCAGCAACAATGCAGAGGGATTAACAAGCCTGAACTTCCTGCCTTTTCTTTTTGAAAGGGCAAGAGTTCGCATCTGCAAGTCTTCCCTGAGATTTCTGCCTGCTCCAAGTAAACTTGTACTGGGTGACCCTGACCCCTCCAATCACAGCACATTCTCAGATCCTTTATTTGTGTCCTTGGCAAGCATATAGTCGCTAAGCTGGTGTGGCAGACAAACTGATGCTTTTGCACCACATGGGCCAACACTGCAGGACTAAGCAGAACTGGGAAAAGCTTGAGTGAAGCCAAAGGTAGCTGTGAAAACAGCCAACGGGCAGATTGGTACCTGTGCCAGGGCAGTGTGGGGATGGAGCTAACTGGATTACTGGGGAAGAAAGAAACATGATACAGTTTCTGCCATGGCCTCTTCCAGGCTCAGAGAGTCTACGTCACTGGTAAATTCCTTGTGTAGCCGTTTTTGGCAGCACAAGGCCACTCTAAGCCATTTCTCATTGCTCTACTATTAGCATTCATGGCAAGGATGGCAGGAAGGAGTATAACTCACCTCAGCCGATGAGTATCCCGAGGAGGAATACCTGGACATGTCAAAGTCATCATCACTGCAGGGAAGGACAAGATACAGCAAAGAAGTAAACAGAGAGACCTGTATTCCCTGGTTAGCCCTATCTTGTGCCATGAAGCTGTCCTTTAGGCACAGAGAAGTTACATCAAGGGAGTGTGGACAGCACTGTTCACAGTTCATCTGTGACCTTCTGAGCTTTCCATCAAAATGCTCTTTACTCATGTTTCTTGCTACTTGTTTACACACACAGACCAGTTACAGCATGTGCCAAAGGGCACAGCAAGGAAGAGTACAAATGGCCTGCAAGGGCAGTTTCAGCGGGAGTTAGCTTCAGTGGGGCAATCTGGCATGACAACTTGGTTCCAGCGTAATGTATATCTTATTAACACTTTGCATACCTGTCTGTATCCAGGGCTACCAGTGGCTTTTCATCTGGACTCTGGTCTAATGATGAATAGCCCTTATTGGGAACGACGAGCCTGAAATAATTAAATGTCTGTTAACCACACGGTAAAGGTCAGTACCACACATAGTCTAGGGAAAAGCTATATGATGGTTAGGCTTTCCCTGTTTCACTTCCTTGCAAGTCCCCCCTTATTGGTGAAGAGGTTTAAATGGATGCAATTCAGAGCAAGCGGGCTGTGTCTCAGGGTAGCTTAGAGCAGTTTCACAGGGATGAATGCTTGACCTGCCTTGGGAACATGCTCCTCCCTAAAAGAAAAAAACAGTTGGGACACTCCATGCTGCATTCTGTTGAACCTGTTTGGCTAGCACTGCTTGTTGTATCAGACTGCTCATTTTTGTATTGCTTTTTTCTCCTAGGAGTGAGTACATGACACTAGCAGTAAGTAAATAGGAGAAGGAGGCTAGGGGAAGGCAGAGTAAAATATATCAAATGTTACCACAAAGCAGAAGTATAGCCTCATGACTAGTTCTATTTTCTTACTGTCTTCAAGATAAAATAAATTAATTTTAAAACTGATGCAGAATTTCCAAACTGCTGCACCAGGGCACTGGAGAAAATGGGATCCACTGGCAAAATTCAATACCCCTTCTCATAGCACTGAGATGCTGCTCCTAGAGCATGCAGGAATGAAATCAAGATGCAAGATCTCTGGAACTGAAGCTGTGACCTGGCATCAGCAGCTTGCCCATACAGATATCACAAGAACTGATGTCCATTCTCGCTCTCCAGTTTTCAAGTCACTGCTCCATATATTCTCACTGACAGTTGTTACTATATCATGAGTGAACAAAGCACCACCAGGGGATGTAGGGGAAGAACCCTTTGTGGTGCTATTTACTTGATTAAAAACACTCGCTACATCTTCTTCTTGAGAAATGTCTTTTTTCTTAATAATACAGAACTTCAATTTTTCTGCATCAGACAAAAACTGTGATAACGTCTTTGTCCCTGATCTAAGTCTTTCCCTTGCATCCTGATTGTTGTTATTTTTGCTTCCCACTCTCCTTGGAACAAAGCCAGGTTGCAGCTGCACCTGCTTTCATCCACAGGTATCCCAGTGTGAGCTTCTTGTCTTGATGTTTTTGCTCACTTAATACGAAATATGTTACGACATAAATCTAAATTTAGGTTATCCTCAGAATGAACTGCAATATCTGACTGTGCCCAAGTGGTAAGGATGTTGTTGTGGTCTCTGCCTGTGCTCATAGCAAGTGTGCCAGTGTCACCTCAACCTTGTTCACATTTTATTTGGTCTTACGGAGTCTGAGTGTGTCATAGATCCAGATCCTTTCACCTTGAAGGCTGCCCGTGCCCCTGCTCCAGGAGAAGGCTGAATGGTGAAAGCAACCTGTTACTAGAGGCTGGATGTCAGAAATTCATATAGATAATGAAGAAGAACAGAAGCCTTGGGGAAGGACAAGGAGGTGGATCAGAGACTAGGAGATGCAATGTTGTTTGCCTAAATGAAGCAAAACATATTTGATGAGAACAGTAGGACTATTAAAAAGGGGGAAATAGCTTTAGCACATTCTCCTCCTGCAAAGACTGGAGGAAGCCAACAGTTTGGACTCAAAGAACAATCATAATCTGGACGTTTTGCAATGTATCCCACTGGAGTACCTCCCATTATACTGCAAACATTATACTGTGAAAAAAAGCTGCTGTGAAAAAATGCTGCTTGAACAAGCTTGTGGCATTTCTGTCTTCCTGGGGTTGCCCTGTCTGTGGCAAGACAGTGTACTGGGTCTGGCTGAGATGGAGCTAATTTTCCCCATAGCAGCCCTCATAGTGCTGTGCTTTGTACTGGTAGCTAGAAAGGAGTTGATAACACACCGGTGTTCTGGCTACTGCTGAGCAGTGCTCACACAGCATCAAGGCTGTCTCTCCAACATTACACCCCCTCCCACTAGCAGGCTGGTGGTGGGCAAGATCTTGGGAGAGGACACAGCCAGGACAGCTGACCCAAACTGACCAAATGGATATTCCACACCGTATGACATCTGCTCAGCAACAGAAGCTAAGAGAAGGGGGGTGGTGGTGGTGGGGTGGCATTTGTTATTACAACATTTGTCTTCTGGAGCAACCACTACACATATTGAAGACCTGCTTTCCAGGAACTGGCTGGACATCACCTACTGATGGGAAGCAGAGAATAAATCTTTTGTCTTCCTCTGTTTCCGTGTGTGGCCTTTGCTTTTTCTTTATTAATCTGCCTTTATCTTGACCACAAGTTTTTCCATCTCATTTTCCCCCTGCCCTTGTCCTGCTGAGGAGGGGAGTGATAGAGCAGCTTGCTGGGCACCTGGCATCCAGTCAAGGTTAACCCACCACAGACAGACTGAACCATTCAGAGGGCTGTGCTTGTGGTGTTGTTTGGTTCCCAGAAAGCCAAGGTAGTTAGGGGATGAAGGGACTTGGTCCAGCAAGACCCTGTGTCAGACACCTCCCAGCCATATGGGAACAATGGAGCTTGGCTACATCTGCTACTAAAGCAATGGCTGCAAACCTCTGTTTTACAGACCCCAAAGGATGCTTCTTAAAAGTTGTGCGAAAAGTAACTAAGAAAAGCAAGTCTACCGTCAGCAGGCTTCGCTTGGCTGTGGAGGGGTCCGTATGTCCTCTGGACAGTGGTCAGGTGTGCACAAATGGAATAAAACTGAGCTGGCTGCTCAAAAGCTTTTGTCAATAGGTGTCACTGCTCTGCTGTTCTCCACTCAAATCAATCATCTTTCCATTGGCAGCTTGGAAACATCAACCACGCTAAGCAGAAGTGTGGTTGATGTTTCAGAATTTTACAGGTAGGCACATATCCCATCTTCTCTCCTATACCATCTTCCTCCACTAATTTCAATGTTTCTAAATCTCTCAAACAGCAAATCTGCTACTGTTCCTCTCGGGAAGCTAACATGCAGCCTATAGGTAAAAGAAAGCAAGACTTTCCAGCTTGTATTTGGAAGACAAGGAGAAACGGTGGGTGTGAAAAATGCAGCTGGGAGCATTTGCTGAAATTCTTGCTGCCCTGAAGGGCTTGGATCTTTTTTATGGTCTCAACAACAGAACACAGGGCAGGGAGCAATGCAGCGTATTCCACCAACTTTGCAGGGGCTTACAAATAAAACTTGACGAAGTCCTGGCATGAGTTATGACTACTATTTTGGGTTTTGTGAATTAATGTTAACAAGGAACCTCGTCTGGTGGATGCGTTGCATACAGAAAGGCTCTGACCTGCAGCTCCTGTTCTACTTAATATATGGTAATCTGTGAAACTTTCTCATTCATCAGTAAACACCCAGCATTCACACAGATCCTTCCGTCATTTTAAGTGAGGTCCTCCACTAAAAACCACCACCTTTCTAGTAGGATGCAAAGCATGCAATCTTGTGGGCTCAGGGAGGTTCCTTCCTCCTGAATGCAGGTAAGTAAAATGCTGCGGTACTGAAGCTTGCATCGAAAAAATAGAAATACTCTAAAAGAAAGTATTCAGGTAGGAACGTCTTCGTTTACAGGGGTTTATAGTACCATCTAATACTGTCATACATAGATGTGCCAAGGCAGCTCCAGCAAAGTAGGACCATGCTGTTCAAAGTGTGGAGGAGGTGTATGGCAAAGTACACAGAGATGGATTAGGTACAAGCCTTCATTAAGTCAATCAGTATGGGGAAGGGGCCATCATCAACAAGAAGCAGGGGAATTACTGCGATAAAAGCAGACAATGCAAACTAAGCTCTAAAACAGTTTGCATTACATGAAGTAGCTTGTATCTCTCCCACTGGCAGGATTATGTGTTACATGAGGCTACCTAGAACATGCAAGACAGCTGCATCAGACCCCTGTCTTCAACTAGGCTGGGCTGCCTCTGTCTCCTGCAGGCTGCACCGTCAATGGTCCTGGGTTCAGCTGTCCCTGTATCTCTCCAGGGGATGGGATGCATCCCTGAGGCCATTTAGGGATTGCAGTTTAGAGCACAGCTGAGTGCTCTTCCAGTCCTTTACCTTGTTCGTGCCATCACGTTGTTCTTCTTGGGCTGCTGATTAACTGGGCTTCCCATGTTGCCATTCTTCAGGGACCCCTTCCGGGCCAGCTCCCTCTGCTTCTCTGCATAGGGGATACAAAGGGGAAAAGCAAAATTAGGGAAACAGCCTGGCAGGTCACCGTACAGCTGCAGAAACCCAGATCTGATAGCAGCAGAAGTCACAGCAGAATTAATAGCAAAGGACATGAACTCTCAATCTCCCAAGGAGGGATGCTGCAATGGCCCTCTCAGCTGTGTCCCTTTGCCTCCAAGATCACCAGGGGCTAAAACTAATATACCTTGACTTACAGCAGCTTGTTGACAACACCACACTAAGACGGTCACAGAGCTTCTGGATGAGACCCAGCTGGGGCAGAGAAAGGGCAGAGACCTTGTCTCCATGTGCACCTGGCTGCTGCACGGACCCTAAGACCGTGACTTGTGCTGGGCAGGGAATCTATCCTTTCGCCTTTTCTCCTACTGAGGCTGCTGCTGAGAGGCCCAATGGGGCTAGAAAAGTGTCTTCATCAAAGCAGCACCACCATTTAGTGTTAGTCCAGCCTAGCTGGACACCAGGCCTGAGTTATTACTGCTTCCCTAGACAGCAACTCACCAGACTAACACACCCTACAGCAGAAGTGTTGCTGCCTTCCCTGATTCTCCTCCTGGCAGCCTGTGATGTTCCCCATGTGTCTTTTTCTTTTATCTCACATTGATTCTTGGGAGCCTGCTCTATTTAAAAAAAAAAAAAAAAAAAAAGTGAAACATTTTGGAGCTGTATTTTTAAACAGCATATTGTTTGCTTAGATTTTCAGACCATGTTCTACTTGCTGCTGAAATGTACCTTAGAGCATGGACAGGGCATCACGTTTTCTTTATGTATGCAGTGCAAGAGGAGATTTAAATTAGCTTCTCCTTTATGAGAGTTTATTTCTTAACAACGTCTCACCACAGGATCACAACTAGAATTTGAGTCCAAAAGCTATGGCTTCTGCAGGTATGCAATGTGTCTGCTGCATTAATACAGCCCTGCCTCCAGAAGGGATAGGAGCCCATGCATGATAGATTACCACATAAACTGATTATTAAATTTTCTGATTCAAAGTCCTTCCTTGTTTCCTGTGGGAAATCACAGAATCACAGAATGTTAGAGATTGGAAGGGACCTCGAAAGATCATCTAGTCCAATCCCCCTGCCAGAGCAGGAACACCTAGATCAGATCACACAGGAACGCATCCAGGCGGGCTTTGAATGTCTCCAGAGAAGGAGACTCCACAACCTCTCTGGGCAGCCTGTTCCAGTGCTCTGTCACCCCCACTGTAAAGAAGTTTTTTCTCATATTCAAGTGGAACCTCCTATGTTCCAGCTTGAACCCATTGCCCCTTGTCCTATCACTGGATGTCACAGAGAAGGAGCCTGGCTCCATCCTCCTGACACTCACCCTTTACATATTTATAAACATTGATTAGGCCACCCCTCAGTCTCCTCTTTTCCGAGCTAAAGAGACCCGTTGAGTTGGGCTAACTGCCCCAATCTCATCCTGCGATGCCAGGCAAGGCTTGTAAGGAAAAGCCGAGCATGGGGCCAGTAGGGCAGGAAAGGGCTCAGTTAAAAACATCCTCCAGAGTGTAAGAAAATATTGGGAACTATTTTTGTGTCATGCCTGGATAATAGGAGTTTACCAGACTGTTGGCTGGAGAACCTGAATAGTATATTTGTTTTGCTTCTGCTTCCTCTGCAGTGTGTGAAATGTGCCGATATACTTTTTCTCTTGCCGATTTTATTCCCCTTTGAGAGAAAAGCACCTTCTCCCACTCGTCGTAGGAAAGTGGTGTGGCCACCAGGGTGTGCAAGTGCAAGGTAAGCCAATTCTGATCTTTCCACACAGCTAGGAGCAGGGGGACACATGTCCAAGGCTGCCTTTTTTGAGGGACGTATAGGCAGCAGAGATGCCTAGAGATCGTGATGATGAGCATGGCTGAGGAACCTGAAGAGAAGCGTATGTACAAACCATGCCCAGCCCTCCGCCTGCTGACAGCTGAGGTGAACAAATGCTCATTGAACTTGTCAGGAAAAGGATCAGATTAATAACTCACTCTGGCATAAGCAACAAAGAGACTGATACAGGATTGAAGTCAAAACCTTATATCAGAGTAATTTCTCAGGTATTTTGCAGGCCACATGAATTTTTCTATTCAGACACAGAGGGATAAAGTGGGGTTTTATGGAGGTACATGTTTACAACCATAAATACAAACCGACTTACACCCATCTACACCAGAAGCTCTAGTGCTGACCACAAATACACAGCACTAAGACAAGCCGCCAATACTTTAAGAGGCTGTATAATTCACAAAAGGCACCTGACTCAGAAACAGGTTACAAATCTCATTTTCTGTCAAGGCAGTTAAGGCGTGCCTGAGCCTTTTAAATGGAGCAGCGCTCTCTGCTTTCTGTTGATTGCTCAGTACAAGCACTAATGCTTTTCTCTGACTCAGATTACTCATTCAGATGATGAATCTGGACTTTTGCTAAGAGTCTCTTTCCTCCATCAGGTCTCTCCACGACTATTTCTATGCTACTATTGAATGCTATTGCAACATGTGGGTCTGAACAATATGAGATTTCCTATTTAACCTGTTATTTCACTTATTTAGTAGCTTGGAGGGAACCTTCCCAAAGCAATGTAAGTGCAGTAGGAACATCCATGCCTGTGTCCTCAGCCAAATTCTTAAGCATGAATGAACAGTTCATCTCCCTTTTAGATACTATGAATTCTGAGACCCTGAGGGCCAAAAAGCAACGGCTAGCAGGGGCAATGGGAAGTCAGCCCAGGCCCAGTGTGTTAGGACAAGCTCCTAGAAGGTGGCAGAGATGTGTATGAGACATGTTAGGCTTTGAAGCAAGGAAACCTACTACGTGAGCTTTACAAGGATGAACAACTGCTACCTCCACCATCATGCTAAGGAGCTGTTTGGGTGCCAATCTCATGAAGTAATTCTGGGCTATAAATTCCAGCCTCACACACCAACCCTCAGGTCCCTGAGAATAGGGGATGGAGGTTTTCACTGTCCATTTTCTGCTCAGTTCTTCGTCTTGGTGTAGCACGTGGAGTTTGTGAACCCCATTTCCAGGTAGTGAGCTCTTTCCCAGGCTTCCAGTTCTTTTGTTTTTGGCACCCAGACATTTATTTGAAGGCCAGCACCCCAGCCTTTAAGTAACTAGGTTCATTCTAGAAATGTGATTGATTTAGGTACTACTGAAGATGTTATTTTCAGGGTCCAATATTTTAACAAAAAAAAGTAATTTCACAAATCAAAGCAGTTCTCATAGAAGTTGCAATCAAACACATAAATGAGCACAGTAATGAGAAGGTGAGAGAAGGAACCACAATCTAGTCGTGATAAGTAAATGGCATTTTTCTTTGAAGTCTGCCCCATATCGGCTGATGCTACACCCACATGAGCATGAATCCTAAGATCACAATTCTTCACTGACTCAACTGTGCTAACTTTTGTGTGAAACCGTGGAACTATGAACCTGGGCAATTCTCAGGGAATTAAAAGCTAAGATGCTCTTTCCTTCTGAGTCATCCTGGACTCTCCAGTATGGTAGTCAAGTATTCCCCATTGGACTTAGATAAGACCTGTGTTTCTACATGTGTTTCTGCATGTCTCCCTCAGCCCCAAGGCTGCTGCTTAGCTTGAGACATTGAGGGCATGGTCACACCAGAGGGGATAGGCATAGCTTGTCTTCAGCACTTGGCAGTTTCTGGCACTGGCTATGAAATGGTTCTCCATGTCCAGGACTGCCTGTGATGCCTGCACTGCACTTCCACTACCTGCAATGAACTTCCAGGAAGGCAACTAGGCTTGATGGTGACTTGTCTAGACCTATTGTAGTAGAGCTATGGATGATAGCTCTACTGGTGACCCTACAAAAGTGCCTGATTTTGGGCAACTCTTGGGGACCAGAAGTATGAGGAAGGGTAACAGGCACTCCTGCCAAATATAAAGAAAGTGAGACATGCAAGAACAAATGAAAAAATGGAAGACTGTGATTTCCAGCCACTGGTTATTTCATGTCTGGTGCATTTACTGTTTGATGATCAGTGAAACGCTAATACAGCAGAGATACAAGGTAGAGGACAGACTTGGAGATGGGGAAGGCAGAATGAAACAAGGCTGCTCTCCAGCTACTTCAGAGAAATCACTCACTGCTGGCAGTAAAAGAGTGGCGTAACAGCAGAGCTCCAACAATGCTCTTTACATGGCATTCGCAAGTATTTGAAGTAGGTTGTTTAGCTTTCGTTTCACTTGACTGTTCTACTTTCTACCACTGTACCTAGTGAAATACTCACATTCACGGTTTGTCACCCCACTTCACATGAAGCAGTTATGGGTGACTGAGCACAGTGTGAGTACAGGTGCAATGGCTTGCACCTGGTACAGTTAGGGGAGAGATGGCTTTACCCAAATTCAGGTTCCTGCTGGTTTTTCACTAATTTTCCAGACAGACACCCCCTTGAAAAAGGAAGATAGAACAGAAGATGTGAGGGCATGAAGCAGCCTGTGTGTGCCTTTGACATTAAGAAGTATGCTATATTAAGAGTCTGAAGATCCTGTCTGATCATTAGCAGGGTTGCTGTGTCGGGTAATCTAGCTGGCTCCATGCTTGAGTGGAGCCAAGCAGCATTAGCTTCTGTTTCAGTGGAGAGCTTGGAGAACACAGACAGCTGTGCTGTCAGCCTGGCACACTGGGGAATTTGGCTGCACCAGTTCCACTCAAGCTAATCCTGGACACTGTGTCAGAAGAGGAACACATGGAGCAGCACATGTGTGTGTTCATGCCTGTGTGTGTATGTGAAGAGGGGGTCCAGGATCCTTTTGACACCACTATACTGCTCTGAACAGCATGTGGGATAGCCTTTCGTCTGGACCTGTCAACCACCATGTCACATCTCACCCTCCTTTCTTGTCCACCTTGTCACTTCATTTTTAAGAGATTTTGTCCCCTTATGACATTAAAATCATTTAAAGAAAGAAGATGAATCTGTTCAACGAGCAAGCTGTTATGTTTGTGC